TTTCCATTAAAAGGACTGGCAGGGTCAACTGGTCCTCCAGCTTGCCAACAAACAAACAAGGCACAGACCAATCATCAACAGGGGAGAAAGAGTGACGCCAAGATGCTCAAACAACCAGCCAATATAGGAAATATTAAACTAGTATTACAGAGAGGCTGTGGTTGGAGGATAAAACGATCAGCGTGAAGTCTGTTCTTGCTGTGCTGGACAGGACAGTCAATCAATAGAATAATCTGCTGCAATTTCATATAGATCAATGTCCATTTTCTACACCTAATCTCATACTGCTGTAACAGCATGAGTCATTAAAAGCTCTCAGTGGCTGTCCCAAAGAAGAAGCGCAGTTGCTGTTTAAATCTGTGCTTTATAAATATCTGTTACTCGTAATCTGATGAGATTTTTGTTTTTAATGGTTTTGTATGAAGACAAATAATAAGGATATGCAGTTAATAGGAGATTTAAAGCTGCAATATCAAACAAACTATTATAGATAATTTAAGCTATAGGCTATTCCTCAACAGGAACCTAAAACTTTCAGATTTATCAGGGGGATTTTATAAAAAGGATTTTATAAAAAGGTATTGAAACAATATAGGGATGGGTTTCTTTTTCCTTAGTTATTAATTTGAAAAATTGTAACACTTAATTTTTTTTTAACTGTTTTGTTGTTCCGTGAGTTTTAATTTATCCTAAAGGGCTCTCTTGTAAATGAGAACTTATGTCTTGATGAGGCTACTGGGAATAAGTAAATGTTTAGCAATAAAACAAATAGCTTGGCTGCGGGACTTAAATTGATAATTGTCGATAGAATTTATTAGGGTTTCCAGGTGGTAAACTTTAAACAGCAATTGAAGAAGAATATTTTATATTATAGATTACAGTATATAATAGATTTGAGTTTTAGGATCTTGTTACTAAAAAGAGGCTATTCTTGAATAAACCTTCTCAAGGTCACATTGGTGCATTAAACTGTAAGATATTTCTACATTTGCAGTATTTCTGTTTGACTTTGTGTCCCTTCTGCTTCTTACATTCATTTCATATGGATAACCAAATATCACAATATTTTAATAATGTTATATTGATAGCTTAGTGAGAACATATTTGTTTCCTCCATATTTCTATCAACTCAATTTTTCAATTCCTATAATCCATATGTTTCAAAATGCATTCTTTTACACACCAGGCATCTTTACTCTATTATGCAGCTGATCGCTTTTTCTCCTTCCTGCATATGTCAGGCGGTTTTCGGACACTGAGAACAGTAAACATATTCTTAAGGGATCAGGTTTCAATATATAATATAATAAATTACTATGTTGTATGTTTGCATGCATGCATTAGCCTGAAAAGATCAGTCTATTGGAACAGTCTAATGGTCACATGAACTTATTGTTTCCATGAAAAACATTTATCTATCAGCTGTTATACTGAGCGTAAAAAAAAAATACATTTAAATTTAAATAAATGTTATTGATTGGGGGATTTAAATAGCAAATCAGTTTGTTTTCGTATATAAGGTTTGTTTTGGAAAATTCTTGGGCATTTACAGTAGGCATTATCACTCAAGATTTAGGTTAAAACACGATCTTCAAGACCTGGATAATTTCTGTAAATGCGGCTGTTTTAGGGCAGATTTTGAAAACTGTTCTTCTGGGTAAAGGCAATCATGGGACTTCTTAATTCTGGCCATGTAAGACTATTTAATGCTACCTCTTTAGGTTTCACATCTGCAGTAGAATGTTTTCTCACACATAAATAGGTTCTGCATCCTGACTATCCCTTTTTTTTTTTTTTTTTTTTACCTTTTCCTAAGAAGGAAACACGTCGACTACACTAGTTTATCAGCAGCTTGAGATAATGCAAGTCAGGGATTCTATACAGGGCTGTTTACCAGGAACCATAATATTTCTGCACTAATATTGATGTAGTGCAGAAGTCTGTGCACATAATTCAGTCGGTAGGCTTGCATGTAAAAGAAATCATGTATAAAATTAAAATTAGTTTTTCCCTGGATGACGCTAAGATACATATTTGATAAGGTTTCCATTTTGACAGAAGGCGGATGTTTGAACTGCAACTGAAACTAGGGCTAAAACAAGTAATACCGTAGGTTTGATCGTGATTAATCGATTATTGAAATAATCGTCAACTAATTTAGTAATCGATTAATCATTAAATTTAATATAGAGACTCTAAAACATGCCTTTACCTTACCCACTTAGAGCAGTAATTATATCAAGATTGTCAAAAATATGTTAACATTTGGCATTTAAGATAAAAAAAAAATTTTCGTCTGTCAATATTCTCTATGCAGAAAAGTTGTAGTTTCACCTGGTTTGATTTCGTGAAAAGTATTCTATAAAGAACCTTTGGCTATTCGATTATTAATTGATAATTTGAAAAAAACATTCAACAGAGTAATCAATTAGCAAAATAATATTTGGTTGCAGCCCTAATTAAAACAGTTATTTTGCTCCGTGTACTTACTGTATGCCCACTTGGAAAATGTCTAAACTTACTCACAGCAGGAAAGTACAATGGGTTAAACCAAATCTGCTGCCAAGCTCATGAGCTCCACACCTAGAACTCGGCTATACTTCCATCTTGATAATGAATCACAAAAAGCATTTTGCGAATGCTAAAGTCCTCTGCAAGGTCTTCTCTGTTTTATCTCTGGTTAATGCTGGATGGGTTATTGTGCTTTCCCAGTAAGCAAGACACATTTGAAATGTTCCATGTTCCTTAGACTCACACACATTTTTTTCTTTTTTCTATGACAGTCTTATTGATAAATAATTAAATCCCAGCCTTTTATGGTTTATGCTGTAAAAAACTGGTTATTTTGCTATAATAATGTTGATGGATATTTCCTTTTGAAATACTATAACTAATAACGAAGGCTTCTGTTTGTATAATTATTCCTAGAATAAAAATGTAAGTGGACTTTCATGACAAACTGACTTATACAGTAAGGTCATTATCCTGAAGAAAATACACATTAGAGTAAATGTTAGTATTGATCCTGTGTGAATATCAATGTTATTTTCTTTGAGCAATCAGGCCTTTTCTGAAAGCCTATTTTCTTCAAGCCTACCTTATGATGGCAGACTCCTAAGTATAATGAGAACATCATCTAGGTGTATTGTCACACACACACACACACACACACAGTGTACTTGAGTTGTTTGACAAGGTGAATAGATGGGGTTCATTTAATATTTATGAATTTTGAAAATGTGTTGTGGTCTCAGACTACAGCTTATTCCCTAATGTTGCCACAAGTAAGGTTAAAAACGATTCAATCAGTTCATTGAATATGCTGGCATCTAACTGAAGGTAAATTTAGGAAGCCATAACTTCTCCATTTCACTGTAAATCACTTGTCTGGAGGAGAAATGCTTTCCTGTTGAATTATTAAAATCTACTGTCCTTGAGAGTGAGGGAAAAAATATTAACAAGGTTAGCAATATTTTACACCTCAGACCTGCATTTTGTTTTGTTTTTCTAAACAGTCCCTGAATTTTTTTAGCCAGCAACAGCATAAGGCTTTTGTTAAAATATAATATAATGAACCTTACTTGAAAGGAGAAAAATAGTTCTGTAATGAATTAAAGTGCAACAACTGGTTTTAGAGTGACTGATTTTGCTTCTGCATTCCTCAGATCTCAGTCTAATATATCATCTGGTTTGTTGATAAAACAAGTCAGATTCTTGGAGCCCCCAACTCAAAAGTTCCAGGATTTGAAGATCTGCTAAAATCTTCCTGGCAGATACAGTGGCGGTTCTAGGCCAAATGTCCCAGGGGGCCAGGGGGGGGACCAGCGTGTTTTCATGGGGCTCAGAAAAGCATGACGCTAAAGAAACATGCAAGGGATTCAAACATGTTAAGGGCTGCATGAAGTGATATTTCCATTCAATTAGGTGTAATTAAAATTATATGTCTTCCAACTGAAAATATTTATTTTTGGCATTTGGATTACTGTTAAAATCAAAATAAAAATCCCTTACTGTAGCTTAGCAAAAACGCACCTCAAAAAATTGTAGCTATATGAATATAAAGCTATTATTTGGAATATTAGGTCAATATACATTCATAATTCTGAAATTGTACATATTTTTATCTTAATTTAAGTTAAAATTACTTTTATCTTTTAAATCAGAATTAGAACACAAGAAAAGCTGTTAAATTCAGCTGTAAAAAATAAGATAATTTTTTTTTTTTTTATTTGTTTTGAAAACAAAAATACTTAGCAGATGAAAACTGGGATCATATCTCAATACCACTGAAGCTATCACCTTATTGTTTTTAAATAATTAGTAAAACAGAGATTTTTAAAGGAATAAAAAAAGAAATTGATCTAAAGGATCTATCAGAAACCATTTTTGTTCCAGGTCATTTTATTGTTTTATTTTAGTATTATGTCTTCGGTACAGGGGCCAGAACATGATCTACAGGGACACTGGTTTCCGTTTGGCCCCTGTCTAGAACTGGTCCTGGGCAGATATCGTATCATACCTCCAGGAGTCTGCTATATTAAAGTCCATGCCTTGATGAGTCACTGCCATTTTGGCCATAGATTAAGCACTTGATTTGGTTGATGGTCGTAATATTATAGCTTACAAGTGTAAAGGGTGCAGGAAGTAATATTTGGCATGATGAAATGCATATTACCTTGACAGAACATAAGTCTTAATAATTTTACAGGTAGGCAGCACAAGAGAGGATGGTTATAACTGTGGCAGGCAGAGGAGGGAATAAACTTCTGACAGCAATCGGATTTCAATCCATCAGAACTCAGAATATGCTACACATGAAAAAAACTATTGCTCCCAGTGAAAGTGTTGGCATTGTTAATATTGATCCAAGAATTTTTTTTTTTCCGTGTAAAGAAAATGTCAAGATTAACACATTGACTTTCAACTTCAGTGCAAAATTAGACATGTTGTTGTCCTGCTTGTCAGATTACTTAATGTGTCTTTTTTTTTTTTTTTTTTAGTTGTGTTGCTGGATACAACATCCGTGCTTGGGGAGCTTGGATGGAAGACATATCCAATAAATGGGGTAAGAACTGTGCTTCTGTTTGCATTTGGTCTTACTGTACAGTTTACCTACTTCAAATTATCGTCACTGCAACTTTAATGAGATCAATTATAGTGATGTGAGCAGGTCAGAAGCATTCTTAGTGGCCTGTTCCATTTATAAGCTGTTCTTCCCTCAGGATCTTCATTTCACATGGGACATACTGTAAATGAGGGGCAGATAGTGATCAATGTCCTGAAAGTTGTTTCCTAGTTATTGTTCAGCTTCTCCTCTATGAATTTATGCCACAGGCCTAAATTTATCTCCATGTTTTCTATTCAGTCTATATGGCAATTTTATTTTGAATGCATTCAATTTGTTCAATTACTATGCACTTTTATGTGCAATTAAAAATATCAAGTATCTATTTAAAATATTGGGGGAAAAAAACATATTTTGCATCAACAATTCTCATTTTATTCATCACATTCAAACACTTAATGTGTACAACCTAAACTACCTGAAGTATTGCATAAATCTAATTTCTCATGAGCACACCTTCAATAAACAGCCGTAGTTAATGGTGTTATCATTTAACTAAAAAGGCTGCAATGTATGCACTGATTCTAGAAGATTTTTTTCTTAAATGAACATTAGTATATTTTCTTGAAAGGTAACACTAGCTTAAAAAAAATTATAAAACTGAAGTAAATAAGAGAAGCAATAATCTTGTGAAATGTTAAAGTGAAAAAAGGATTGTACTATAGTACACACATTTCTCTTTGGGCTGATTTTAAATGATTATATGTACCAAGGATCATCACCTTGTTCCCCTAGAACCTTCTCTATCTCTGCGTCCCTTTTTGCATAGTCCTCAGTGGCCCATATCAGGGTTATGATGTGATTACATCATGTAGGTCGTGGCGACAGCCGCCCACAGCGGCAAGGAAAGGAGAGAAAGAAAGAAAGAGGCTAGTGCCTCCATGATTAAGCTGTCAGTCCTCTCCTCTCCTCACTCATCCTCAATCCTCCAACTTACCATTAATATTTAAGCCATCGAGGTGAGAGGGCCCGAGGGAAGGTGTGCAGATCCAGAGTAGTGAAGTAGTTCAAAATCCCCATCACTAACTGGGAGCCAGTAGAAGCAAGTCAATCTCCAACATATTAGACACAGCCCTGGTATCAGGCCAACACAGCAGCACATCATGTACTGTAGCCTATATACAGCTGTAGTTTTGCAGTTAGTCAGTCTGTCCTGCCAAGAGCATATTTTTAAAGGATTTAAAACTATGATTTCTTTTTAATGTCTTTGATGAATTTGTTCAATTTGAATTGAACTTATCAGAATGTGTCCCATACTTACTACAGATCTTAACAATTTAATTGAAATTAAAAGTGAAAGGCCAACATTAAGTAGTGGATCATTCTTAACAAATTAACATTTTTGCGTGAGAAAAAAAAAAAAAAAGGAGTGTGTTGTGCTTTTGTAAATTAGGCTCCCTGAGTCTTTTTTAAACCAAACTGTAAGTCTTAATGTTGGGATTTGTTTGGTTCCCCATAAGACATTTGGAAGAGAAAATCTTTGCCAATTTTTTTTTTCATATCTTATATATCTTATATATCTTATATAGTGGAGGATTTTCGTGAATTTTTAAAAAGACTTGCCCTCTCCAATAAAAAAAAAAAAAAATGCATATGTACAACCCTGTACCCGCTCCCAGGAGGGAATGCCTATTAAACTTGTGCGAGAGTATGCACGAGCCCATTTCTCCTCATGCAAGCTCTATTTAAATGCTGCTGTTTGCATCGCTTATACAAGCTAAATTTCCAAAAGAAGATTTGCAATTGTTCCACTATGTCAGACTCACCACCGATAAGTGATTATGGGGATGAGCATGCAGGGCGGCCTTACGTAAACATATCACCAGAATGATTGACTATTAAGAGGACCAGTTATTTTGATGATCCACCCGAAAAAAAAAGAACATCCTCCACTAGAGCTTTACGTTGAGTAAAACTGTATAAATAAAAATTTATTTAAAAAAACTGCAATCCTCAGTTGGCTTTAATGTTGGACTTTGACCGTTTTATTACATGACAAACGTATATATTCGAAAAAGCTTTTATATCATTCCAAAAATAAATTACTCTCACAACATTATGTCCATATTACCATCTTCTACTAAATTTATGGTATCTTTATCATGTTTTTCACCATGACGAGTTGATTTTAGGCCATGAAAATGTAATTTGGTTTCAACCAACCAGAGTAAATTCTCACAGGAGTGTTAGGTCCATACTAAGAGTTATTTTTTTTAATGAAGAAAATAAAAGTTGTAACATTATGAGAATAAAGTAATAATATTTCGAGAATGAATTAATAGTTTATGAACAAGGTTATAATATTTACGAATAGTTGTGATATGAGCTTGAATATTATGAGACCAAAACATTCTTTTAATAAGAATATGGCTGTAAAAGATTTATCAAGACCTGTTGGATGTGATCAGTGGAGCTTTTTAACTCCTTGATAAATATTGGAGTTTCTTGTAAGTGTTAACATAAAAGTAAGCTACCTGTTTATCTTGGGACATTATTTTTGAAATATTATTACTTTATTATCATGATCTTTATTGTTGTAGTAGTATTTTAGTCCTGTAATGTTCCGACTTTAATATCGTAATGTTATGATTTTATTCTTATAGACTTAAAACTACTGTATGACTTAATTTTTGCAAACCTGTGACTTTTTTTGTAGTTAATGCAATTTTATATGCATCTTTGCATATGCATTTTTCTGTTGTACATTCTTTTAAAAAAATTTCCAGTTATTTGCTAGTGGTATAGAACAGAAGACATTTTTATTCTATTTTAGATTCACTCTCAAATTATGAAGTATAGGGCACTTCTAAAGTAATCAAGTTTAAAAAATAATCATGCAAGGTGTAAGAAATCATGTTTGTTCCATGTAAGCTTGTGAAAGGCTGAAAAACTATCAAGGTTGTAGCAGAGTTCTTGCTCAGACATGTTCCAGCAGAGCTGTAACTCCAAAAAAACAATAAAGATGATTTTAGAATTAGATTGAAAAAAAATAACTGCATCTTAATGTCACTTTTGGAAGAGGTTGATGATGATGATAGGGCGTTTAAATGCTTATCAGTATGGGAGTGTAATTATTGCCCGTCTTGGAAATCTAAAATGAAAATGGCATTCAAAAGTCTGCAGTGCTTCAGTAATCAATGTTGGTTTGTGTGCCACCATCCACATATTGTGGATCACGATGCTGTAGGTCCACATCTTAGACATCTTAGCAAACTCTAAAGCAGTGAGCATGTATTGACTCGCTGCAAACATAATCATACTTTTTTACCATGGCTATATTGAGTACCAAGGTGCCCTTTCACTGTTTTATTCTTCCTCTGCTAAGATAGTCAGAGGACCTGTTTCAACAACCCGCAAGGGAAATCGTGCAAAGTGGCTCGCTTGTTAATGATCCAAATGTGCGAATTTTCTCATCGTTGATAAACTTATTCAACCTCAAAGGCTGCAGCCATTAGATTGTGCATACTGAACAGAAATCTCACTTCAGGCTATTGAAAACTTTGCTTTTCCAGTAGAGCTTGATAAATGTCGGGTGAAGAAAACAAAAGGCATGCTGATTTATTATTGGCTAATGTGTTGAGAGATTTTCATGTGGCAAAGATCTCTGTTTTCAGTGTTTTGTATTGCAGAGTTCATAATTACTAAATAGATATGAATAACACGGTGTCAGGGATTGAAATAAAGTAAGACAAAAAGGATGAGAATAGGAAGAAAGCTGGTTTAGTGTCTGCATGTAGCCACAATAAGCTCCAGTCAGAGTGGGCAGATACAGTGCTGAAATATGCATGAGTCCTTTTCCCAGTGGTGAGTGGTGGTGTGGGAAGGGGAGTGAGGCAGTGAATGGAGCAGCTTATTTATTAAATTACATAAAAGGCTTTAAGGGATTAAGAATTCCTAATGTCGTCTTTTGTTTTCACTAATGCCAACTGAGGAACATTGCTCACAATAAGGAAGAATTGGTTGTCCATCATGGAAGCAGGGATAAAGCTTATTTCATTCATTGTTGGAGATTTCCAGAAGCCAATAAATTCATTGGGAAAAAAAAAAATGTAGTTAGCTTAAAAATCTAATCTACAATTTTTTTCCCACCAAATCCATTTTTGTTTCTCACTTAAGTTTCATAATAATACTAAAAAAAAATTCTAATCACATCTATCGCTTTCAAAAACTAGCTTTATGCCAGTCATCCCCACTGGGAGGCGACCTTAATTTAAAGGGCAATGAAATTTAAGCCTTAAAAAAATGCTGTAAAACAATCATGTTTTACAAAAAAACAATGCAATTATAACATACTAAATAATTGTAGATACCGGTATTATTATAAGTGAGGTAGTTTTTAGTTATTATTACATATCTAAAAAGAAAAAGTAATTAACTGATGTCACTCTGTTCTATGGAAGCCCACAGAGTGAATTGATAAAAAAACTTTGATTTTCCAAAAATAAAATCTTCTTAAACAAAAATATTGATTAATCGATAAAATCTATCAATTGCCCATCCCTAGGTGCTAGCTGTAGTGCCTGCCTACAAGAGGTCATAGTCGTTAACCAGGGTAATGCGAAAGTAAGTCAAGCAATTGGTTCCCCCTTTTGCAACAAGCATCTGCTTTCTCATTTGAACATTTGGCTTGTCAAGCAAACATGTAGAAATATAATATTTAAATTCTATGTAATCTTTACATAGATTCGGTTATTCTGAGGTCACTAATATTGTATTTAATGAAAAAATAGATTATAATGGACAATAGATTGTTAGGCAAGGCAAGTTTATTTATGAATCACATTTCAGCAGCTAGACAATTACGTAAAAGTTCCTTACATAATAGGAAAACACAGGAAAAATGACTTTGAAAACTATTAGAAAAAAAGATTAATAAATAAAAAAACATTTATATAGCAGATTTGGTAAATGGTAATGGATTTGCACTAATAATGTTTAGC